TTTTTTGAGACAGAGTCTCGCTGTGTTGCCCAGGCTGGAGTACAGTGGTACAATCTCAGCTCACCGCAACCTCCACCTCCCAGATTCAAGCGATTCTCCTGTCTCAGCCTCCTGAGTGTTACAGGTGCACACCACCATGGCCAGCTAATTTTTGTATTTTTAGTAGAGATGGGGTTTCACCATGTTGGTCAGGCTGGTCTAGAACTCCTGACCTCAAGTGATCCGCCCACCTCAGCCTCCCAAAGTGCTGGGATTACAGGCGTGAGCCACTGTGCCTAGCCATAAAATATTACTTTAACCACGGAGTGCCTGACACATCAGCCTCCCTTCTAAACAATCTAGATGAGGTTTTCAGCTAGTGCCTTGCCTCTATGTCTAAACCAACTCCTCAACCACCAGGAGGGAGGGAGAGAGGGAGGCACACATTTACCCATCTTGCAGCTGCTCAGTAAATAGGTGAAACAATTCTTCTCCTTCTTCTTTCTACCTCATTAAACACTCTCCTCAAATGTGGTCTCCTCTGTGATGCCCTCTTTCCTAACCAAGCAACTCCTTCAGTCCTGGCCTCCCAATGTCTCTGGCTTCTTCCCAGTGCTGATCAGGACCTGACATTATATCATGGACCCATATGTGGATGTCTATCTCCTCCACTACAACATAGCTCCAAGCAGCCAGGAACTTGGCCTAATTATGGTTGCATCCATCGCGACCAGGTGAACTGTGATGAGGCAGAGGACAGAAAAGTGTCCGACCTCACACCTGGCAGAGTTACAGGAGGATAAACATCCAAGGTATGGAGAACAAGGCCTCAGGACACTCTGCTCTGCCCTACAAACACTCAGGGTATGCTGGGAGGGCCATGGTACAAAGATAGAGGTCAGGGATGGCAAGTTGTGTTTCACAGAGCTCAGGGTTTACCAGGGGCTGTATACTCATTATTTTACTTAATGTTTAATACATTCATACTTCAAAAGGGAAACTGGAAAAAACTTTTTTAAAAAACCCTGCAGTTGAAGCAATTTCAAATCTGTGATTCTTAGTTAAAATAGAAATAACCTTAAAAAAAATAGGTGCTACATAAAGGCCAATCTAATGCTCGGTTATAAGGTTTCAAAGGGCCAATTTGTATATTCTGAAAGAGACAAATGCTAGGTATACTACCAAGGTAAATTTACATTTTGATGCCCACTTGCTACCAAAAGTATTCTCTCTACATAAAGTGAATCAACTCCTGGTAATTTGACAAGAATGAAAGACCAGTCAGAACCCCACTGTTTTTTGAAACTGGTATTTACACAAAAATAAACAATGTAATCAGCAATGTATATAGTCCACATTTAGGGTCTCTACTAAACCATTTTGACTAACAGGTGACTGATTTAATTCCTCAAAGGGAACTCTCCTTCCACCAGAAGGAGCTGCACGCAAGCTGCTCATCTGTCTTAACTCTGTAAGATGTGACCCCTCACCCCTTATCCAGAGGAACACCTGTCACTATGTCCTCAGGCTGTTTTATTTTCCTTCACAGCACCCCTACCTGGGATACTTCAGATTTTTTGTTCGGGGCCTGGCACAAAGCAGGCACTCAGTTAGTATTAAATAAATGAGTATTACTATCCACATTTTTTTAGATAAGGAAACTGAGGCTCAGAGGCGAAATAATGTGCCCAAGATCAAATGTCAGGCAAACTGCACAGTGGGGATTTGAACCAGGTCTTTCAGAAATCCAAAGCTCCTGTTCTTTCCCATGTATCAAGCTCCCTGCCCGATGACGAAGCAAATCATTACATGCTGGGCTGGCACCATTATCAAACGTTAGGATGAAATACCTTGCTCTGCACAATAAGGACATCTCTGCAGTGCATTCAGTTTATTTGTTCCCATAAATGAAGGCACTAAGAGGCTCTCTAAAAAAGAAGGCTGGGCCGGGCGCAGTGGCTCATGCCTATAATCCCAGTGCTTTTGGGAGACTGAGGCGGGCAGATTGCCTGAGGTCAGGAGTTTGACACCAGCCTGCTCAACATAGTGAAACCCTGTCTCTGCTAAAACACACACACACACACACACACACACACACACACACACACACTCTCTTAGCCTAGCGTGATGGCTCATGCCTATAGTCCCAGCTACTTGGGGAGGCTGAGACATGAGAATCGCTTGAACCTGGGAGGCGGAGGTTGCAGTGAGCTAAAATGGAACCAGTGCACTCACCCTGGGCAACGGAGTGAGACTCCGTCTCAAAATAATAAAAATAAAAAAGAAGGCTGTCTTGACTTCCAAAAATATGAAATCCTCATTTCGTTATTACTAATTATTTTTGCCACACTGCAAATCTAAAATCAGATCCGACTTACACTGCTGGAAGCCTCAGAAAAGATATTCCACACCTGCTCCAGAATGGATTCATTATGAACTTTTAAACTGTTCTTCATCCAGTTCTATAAGAAACAAAAAGAAAAAGAACTATTGATCCCACTTGGACAGGTACACACAAGCTCAGTCACTGATGGGCCACACAGCCCCCTCCATTCAAGAAAGTCAATTCATACCTGAAATTTTGCCTTTTTCCTGGGAACGTTGTCAAAAGCACTGATTTGCTCTAAAAGTTCTCGCACTTTGGGGCTGACGTTAGGTCTCTTTATTAATTCATTAATTTTCTACAGAAAAGGAAGAAAAAAGAAAAACAATAAACAACCAACATGAGTTTCATGAAAGCCAATAAAAAAAGTCCTTGCCATGGCTGAAGGGTTTACATTTTCAGCCCAGATTCTGTATTTATGACTATGCTTAAAAATATATAGATTAACTTCTATTAACATAGTACTGGAGTCCTAGCCAGACCGGTTAGGCAAGAAAACAAAATAAAAGGCATCCTAATTGCAAAGGATGAAGTAAAATTATCTCTGTTTATGGATGATGTGCTCTTATATGTCAAAAATCCTAAAGGGTTCACACAAAAATTGTTAGAATAAACAAATCCAGGGCCGGGCGCAATGGCTCAAGCCTGTAATCCCAGCACTTTGGGAGGCCGAGGCGGGTGGATCAAAAGGTCAAGAGATCGAGACCATCCTGGTCAACATGGTGAAACCACGTCTCTACTAAAAAAAAAAACTGCAAAAAATTAGCTGGGCATGGTGGCACGTGCCTGTAATCCCAGCTACTCAGGAGGCTGAGGCAGGAGAATTGCCTGAACCCGGGAGACGGAGGTTGCGGTGAGCCGAGATCGCGCCATTGCACTCCAGCCTGGGTAACAAGAGCCAGACTCCGTCTAAAAAAAAAAAAAAGGAATAAACAAATCCAGCAAAGTTGCAGGATACAAAATCCACATTCAAAAATCCAGCTGCATTTTATATAACAAAAAGAAACAACCAGAAAGAGAAATTAAGAAAACAATTCCACTTGCAACAGCATCAGAAAGAATAATCAGAATAAACTTAACCAAAGAGGCAAAAGACTTGTTTACTGAAAACCAAAAAACACTGCTGAAAGAAATTAAAGCAGACATAAATAAATGAAAAACATTTCCATATTCATGGATTGGAAGACTTAAAGTTGTTAAGATGTTAATACTAACCAAGCAATCTACAGATTCAACGCAATTCCTATCAAAATCCAATATGTGTATATACACATTTTTGCAGAAATAGAAAAATCCATCCTAAAACTCACATGGAATCTCAACGGATACCAAATAGCCAAAACAATCTTGAAAAGAAGAACAAAAATGTGGATCTCATATTTTCTGATTTCAAAACTTATTACAAAGCTACAGTAATCAAAGCAGTGGGGCATGGGCATAAACAGACATAAAACCAGCAGAATAGAGAGCCCCGAAATAAACTCTCTCATATATGGTCAAATGACTTTCAACAAGACTATTTAATGGGGGGAAAACCAAGACCATTTCAACAAGTGGTGGTAAGAAAAGTAGATTATCCACATGCAGAAGAATGAAGCTGGACCCTGACCTAACATCATACACAAAAGCTAACTCAAAATGGATTAAAGAACTAAACTTAAGAGGTAAAACTATAAACTCTAAGAAAAGAAGCATAGTGGAAAAGCTTCACAACACTGGACTAGACAATAACTTATTGGCTATTATGACAAAAGCATAGGCAACAAAACAAAAAAAATGAATTGACTACATTGAAATAAAAAACTTATATGCATCAAAGAACACTATCAACAGAGTGAAAAGGCAACCTGTGGAATGGGAGAAAATATCTGAAAATCATATCTGATAAGAGGTTAATATCTAAAGTACTGGCCAGGTATGGTGGCTTGAGGACAGGAGTTTGAGACCAACCTGGGCAACAAAGCAAGACCCCATCTCTACAAATGAAATAAATAATCCATATATAAAATATATAAAGAATTCCTACAACTCAACAACAAAACCTAATTTTGAAATGGGCAGAGGACCTGAATAGACATTTCTCCAAAGAAGATACACAAATAGCCAATAAACACATGAAAAGATGCTGGAAATACAAACCAAAACCATAATGAGATATCAGTTTGTACCCATTAGCATGGCTATTATCTAAAATAAAACAGAAAATAATCCTTGTGGGCAAGGCTGTGAAGAAGCTGAACCCCTTGTCCACTGCTGGGGAGAATGTAAAATGCTACAGCTGCTCCAGAAAGAGTATGGAGGTCCCTCTACAAATTAAAAACAGAGTTACCGGTAATCCTACTGCTGGGTAAACATACACACCATAGAAAATTCTTCATCCATAAAAGGGACATTGTGACACATGGCTGAACCTTGACGATATTGTGTGAAGGTAAACAAATCAGTCACAAAAGGACAAACATTGAATAATTTCACTTACATGGAGTACCTAGAGCTGCTAAATTCACAGAGACAGAAAGTAGAATGGTATTCGCCAGGGGCTGGGGCGGGAGGAATGGGGAGTTAGTGTTTATTGGGGATAGAGCTTCAGTTTGGGAAGATAAAAAAATTCTGGAATGGATAGTAGTGACGGTTGCAGAACAATATGAATGTGTTAACTGTACGTGTTTAAATGGTTATATCATGTGTATTTTACCACAGGGAAAAAAAAAACAAAATAAACTGAATGTGATAAAAAAAAAAAAATGGGTATTAGAGGGACTAGGTTATAGTCAAGACAATAAGCATTAAGATCTAATAAAATCTGGGCTGGGCGTGGTGGCTCGCACCTATAATCCCAGCACTTTGGGAGGCCAAGGCAAGTAGATCACTTGAGGTCAGGAGTTTGAGACCAGCCTGGCCAACATGGTGAAACCCTGTCTCTACAAACAATATAAAAATTAGCCAGGTGTGGTGGTGGGTGCCTCTAGTCCCAGCTACTCGGGAGGCTGAGGCAGAACTCTTTGAGCCCAGGAGGTGGAGGTTGCAGCAGTGAGCCAAGGTCGTGCCACTGCACTCCAGCCTGGATGACAGAGCAATACTCCATCTCAAAAAAAAAAAAAAAAAAAAAAAAAAGAACAAAAAAAAAAAAAAAAAAAAAAAAAAAAAATCTAATCTGAAATTGCAAGAACAGGAGAGAGAAAAATAGTGACCTAGGAATTTCAATTTTCTGTGTTTGGCAATCTCAGTAAAGGAAGAGGAAAAGTAATTATTAAAGTTAGAGATGACAGTAGACGTGAAAGATGGTCACCAACCAGGAAACAAGGATCAGTGCTAGAGCTAAACAAATAAAATGCAGGAAAATGTCCCTGCAGTAGGAAAGAAGTGAATCTATATATAAACAGACTAGAAAAAAACCGGATACTAAGACAAGGATAAGGCAAAGCTGTTTCAGGCACGCAGGTAGAAAAACAAAAATCAAGAAAACAAGACAAACATGAACATAGAAAAATGAGGCTGGCTTAGCACTCACTGACAGCCAGCCCTTTCAGAAGAGAACAGGGCAGCGGAGACGCAGGTTAGAGAAAAACAGTGTAACCCATTTAAAAGTGATGTTCTCCTGGTTCATCTACCCGCAGTCTGCCTGTAAGCCCAGAGACATCTGGAAGGATGCACAGCACACATTCACACTGCTTGTTTCTGGCTGGTTGATTTGGGGATCATGTATTGCTTTCTTCTCTGTACTTCTTCTGTATTACTGGAGTTATTTTTATTAAGTGGTTAACATCCACCTATTTTGTATTAAAATGATAAGGCTAAAAAAAATCACAGTGGCTCTTGCCTGTAATCCCAGCACTTTGGGAGGCTGAGGCATGAGGATTGTTTGAGACCAGCCTGGGCAACACAGTGAGACCCCGTCTCTACAAAACATTTAAAAATGTAGGTGGGCGTGGTGGCATGCGCCTGTAGTACTACAGCTACTTGGGAGGCTGAGGCAGGATTGCTTCAGCTGAGGAGGTCGAGCCTGCAGTAAGCTGTGATTGCACCACTGTACTCTAATCTGGGCAAGAGAAAAAGGCCCTGTCTCAAAAAAAAATTAAATTAATAAAAACAGGAAAAAATGAGAGCAGCACAGCACAGTGTCAGAGATAAAAATGGGTGCAGTCTGAGAGCAGCCAGCCCCAAGTATAGAACATGGCAGATGGGGTTGGATCCAGGCAACTCCAAAGTAGCAACTTTTTGGAATTGTGAGAAATGTCAGAAGTGAGATGTCAGACGAAAGACAAAAAGGTCAAGTTGCAGATGAAAGAAGAAAGGGTTCCTCCAAGGACCAACATTCTGAGCCCTTTATAATATGAATGACTTCCAAACACCCAATCTACTAATAAAAAGCTTTCGGAGAACAGGGATTCCTCCTGACTAGGTTCCTTAATTCTGTTTTTCAAATGTGGGGTTTAATGAGTTAAGGAAAAGAGCAAAACCCCCACACTGGGCCAGCTGATTCCCCCGCAGACCACACTTACTCTTCTCCATCTGTGAAAAATGGCAATGAGGGAGTCAGGGAGGAATCAGATGGGAGAAACCAGGAGACCATGAAGGAAGCAGAAGTGAGTTCTGGAGAGGGCTGCTGAAGCCTGACAGTTTAGACCAAGCGTCAGCAAGCCTTATCTGTAAAGTGCCAGACAGTGAGTATTTAGGCTTTGCAGGTTTCTGTCACACTACTCAATGCCCCACCCATTATGGCATTGAGTATTAAAGCAGCCAAAGACCACAGATAAACAAATGGGCATGGCTGTGTTCCAGTAAAACTTCATTACAAAGAGGCGGCAAGCCACCTGTGGCCTATATAGTTTGCTGACTGACCCCTGCTTTAGAGGATTTCACTGAGTGAAAACAGCAGATGGAACTCACAGACCCATGTATCTCAACCTCAGGGCCTAGGAATGTCATTTGGTTTTTAGAGAATTACAGAGAGTGCCCAAAAGTATGGCTGCTGGTCACCAGCGCAAACATCTTAGTTAAGATAAAGAATTTCACTGGCTTTTCAATCTGCTCTGGGCCGACTTTTTAAGTCCTTTGTGAACAGAAATGCCTTCCTAGTAGTATGCTGATTCAGTAGGCTAGAAATTCACATTTCAACTCTATTATCAAATGGAGTGATTACTTTTTATTGGATTTTAGAAAAACAGAATTTTCCCATAGGTGACATCTGTCTTTTCATTCTCCCACCTTCCTTTCTGAATCCTTCCTCCTGCTACCTATTCTGTTGATCAGTAGCATTTTGAGAGTTATGCTTCCCAGTGAAATGAGGGTGTCAAGGCTTCTGCCGTTTCTATTGTGCATGTTCTCATGCTATTCTAGTTAAGTAGAAAATTTTTTACATTGATCAAAGTGTCTTTATTTTGCCCAATTCTAATGACTGGCAGACATGACAGATTAATATGGCTTGAGTCAGAAAAGTTGCATTATCACTAGAAGCAGGGAAAGATTAGAAGGTTTCCATTCAGTTTTGCAGCCAAGGGAAAGCTAATGAGAATTCTAAAATATTTTTTTCAAGAAATTAACAAAACACATGCATTAAAGGTATAATGCACCACAATTGTTTAAACAGCTAGAAGAATAAAGAACTCTTTTTCTTTCTTTTTTTGGAGACAGTCTCATTCTGTCACTGGTGCTGGAATGCAGTGGTGCGATCTTGGCTCACTGCAATCTGCACCTCCTGGGTTCAAGCACTTCTCCTGCCTCAGCCTTCTGAGTAGCTGGAACTACAGGCGCCCACTACTCTGCCCAGCTAATTTTTTGTATTTTTAGTAGAGATAGGGTTTTGCCATGTTGGCCAGGCTGGTCTCGAATTCCCAACCTCGTGATTTGCCCACCTTGGCCTCCCAAAGTGCTGAGATTACAGGTGTGAGCCCCTGTGCCCAGCCAAAGAACTCTGTTTCAAGAAGTTTTAGTTCAACCTCAGTCTATCCTAGGACATAAGGTTTCCAGGGCTTGTCTGCAGGATGACACATATATTCTTAGTCTCTTGGGCTTCCAAAGAAAGTGGAAGGTGTTAGAGGAAGATACTCAATGAATTAGAAAAACATTACCTGAATCCATGCCTGTTGTTTAATGTCGCCTTTGTGGGTTTTACCTTCATAGCCTTTGCCACCATACTTCTGATCTTCACTTATGCATTTCACGTGGTTTTTATAGTCATCACCCCTTTAAAGTGATCAAAGGTTCTCCCATTAGACTGACACCAAGTTGGAGGCGCTGATACCAGCACGCTGCTACTTCCCTCTGTATGTCTTCACATCTGTCTACCACACAAGCACCCCGTCTATTTCACTTATGTTGAAAACCTCCTGGTCAGAACCACATCCTGCTTCCTCCAAAGTCTTCAATATCAAACCCATCACCCAATGTTTCCCCCATTTCTATAAACACTTTACAATAAATTGATAGGCAGTATTTTTTTACCCCTAAATGCATATATACTGAATAAACACCAAAATAACTATGCAATAGGGTAGTCTTCTTAAATTATAAAAATTATCAATGACTTTCTGGTCTATTATCAATGACTTTCTGGTAATAAACAGGTATAAAATAAACAGGCATAAAACGGCAGTACGAGATTTCCAACAGTTCTAGATACCTTAGGGTCCTGGAAAAACTCAATTTTGTCTCATAATCTTTGTAAAGCTCTGTGGGGTTCTTCAGGGAAATGCTGGGGACAAGGTCCAGGGCAAAGTCCCCTAATGAAAACTAAATTTTAACCTACTTTATATATCTAGCTTCCTCCTAGGATTAAGTCTGAACAGAGGTTAGCAGTTTCTAAAAAATCACTGCTCTACAGTGAATTAAGAGACTCTTAACCAATACCACCTAAATGCCGGAGAGGACACTGGGGCAGATGCTGCCACAGGCCAGCTTCTCGCCTGGACCTTCTGCGGCCAAAAGGGAATCAACATGAAATTCAAGAGGGCAGCTCTCTGCAAACGACCCACCTCAAGAAATGGCATCTAAGGCGGGATCTGTCTTGCCCCTCCCCGCTAACTCCTCACCTTCACAGAGGCCTCCTCAGTGGAAGTGTCTCTTGACACACTCGGGGGGCCAGGAAGAGCCTCACTTCCACCAGCAGCTCTGATTTTCCAGGGAGGACATAATTTCCTCTGCTATCAGTCATCTCCCCCACTGTGAGCTCATAAATTCACTTTCTGGTTCATAAGTCCATCTCTTCACTGCGATGGGCACACGATACCCTTGGTCTAACAAAACCAGCTCTAACCTAGAGCCATCTTCCATGTGTTGCTTCCCTGGGTCTGGTAAGAGTGGCAATGTAATAGCAACCAGTGTCACCAACTGAATGCTCTAATCATAATTCCCCTTCCCCTAGTCTTCTCTTTAACACATCCTCAAAAAGCAAACGTCTAGTAAGGCACATTTTATTTCCCCCCTGAGATGGAGTCTTGCTCTGTCTCCCAGGCTGGAGTGCAGTGGTGCAATTTCAGCTCACTGCAACCTCTGCCTCCCGGGTTCAAGCAATTCTCCTGCCTCAGCCTCCTGAGTAGCTGGGATTACAGGTGCACCCCACCATGCCAGGCTAATTTTTGTATTTTTTAGTAGAGATGGAATTTCACCATGTTGGCCAGGCTGGTCTCGAACTCCTGACCTCGTGATCTGCCTGGCTAGGCCTCCCAAAGTGTTGGGATTACAGGCATGAGCTACTGAACCCAGCCTAGTAAAGCACATTGTAAAGAATCACATGAGTTTTAATCAATGGACCATACCAGTTTTTATTCTTGATTTATTTCCTCAAATTTGCCACTATTTTTCCAAGCTTTGTCGTGCCAAGGCTTCCAAAACTGGTCTGGATTTACTATGGATCTACATGAATTCTGTGAAGCTTACCAGAAATCTTTACCACAGTCAATGCAAGAAAGGCATTCACAGTTTCTGCAAACAGACACATGCTTTTCCACTTGGATTTTCTTCACTGATTCACCACATGCATTGCATGTAAAAAATACCATTTTAGGTAAATGGCTAAATATTCGCTATCCAACACAGGTTTTAGGTCTTGTCCTAAAAAAAAAAGATAATTATCATTATAAACTGAAGCTTCTCATTTCAATAAATGGCTCATGCAGCTAACTTTTCAACCATAATTTCACATGAAAATAACAGTCAAAGTTGATTAGCAATCTACATAAAACTCCACCATTCATATAAATAAAACTAACATTAACAGTGACAATGGCTAACATTAATGTCCTTATCATGTGCCAGGCACTATTCCAGGGGCTTTACATGTATTCACTTATTAAATCCCCATAGCAACCCTATGAGGGAGGGACTATCATTGTTCAGAATTTATAGGAGGTAACTGAGATGCAGAGATTACGTAGCTTGCCCAAGGATGTACAGTTAGCAGAACCAGGATTTAAACCTGGCAGATTGGCTCTCGAGATGATGAGCTTTGAGGGTGTTAAATCTTACTTTCCCTAGTGTCTTAAACTCTCTCAATTATATAAACCTATAGAACGCACTGCAATTTAGGTGTTCACTACAAACTATTTCAGGTCCTCAAACAGACTAAGAACACAGCAACAGGAAAACTGAGTGAAGTTTAGAAAGTAAAGAAGAGGCAATTTTATGGACATAATTGCTATGGCACCAACAGCATTCATATCAATATTACTGTATGTTTACAGATGTTAAAATAAGGACATGTGCCTCAGCTGTAATGGGCAGGGGCCTCCTGCATGTGGCAGCTTGTCAGACAAGTCAGAAAGAGATGGAACCACATCCAAGTGACCCAACTGCTAGGTGCTGAATTACCAGAGGAGTTCATGAACCCTGGGGTGCTGAGCACAGCTCCAGCATGAAGTATGTCTGTACACGTACATAAACATCATTTTAAAATTTCACAGAAATGCTACTGTGCTCAAGGAAACACACATTCATCTAAAAGTGTTAGAGAAGTCACAGTAATTTTCCATAATTACATAATGTTTTAATCACTAGATTTTAAAACAGCATTGTTTTACATTATAAGTTTCACAGTAAAAATACTGAGAACTGTTTAACCCAGCGCTTTCTTTCTCATTATGAAAATAAAGGTGAGTATCAGGTAAACCGATGTAATTTACTTCAGGGTAGGACTTCATCCAACAATCTCTCAGATCCACCCTTGTTTTGCAGAGCATTCTCATGCATGAAAACACCGTCACTCCTCCACCAACATGTTCTGGATCACCGCTGGTAAGGTCATACCCAAGCAATGACCAGGGTTATTCATGTCCATTCACCCTTGAATGGAAGTGTACATCCTGGCTGCATCTCCAGGGTTTACAGAGGCCCAGCCGGTCTCTTGTGGAGTTGCCCTGTGGGACATTATCAGACACCAGCTCGGCTTCTATGCTACACACAAACCACAGACCCCTGACCCTGGGTCCCAGGCCCCACTCCTCTGCTCACTATTAGTGTACGCTAGTAAGCAGGGGGCATGCGGTCAGCTACAACGTAGCACCAAATCCTCAGGAAAGAAAACACGACTACCCTGGATGTGCTGCAGCAACTGTCATCTTCTCATCTGGTTACTGTAAAGATGTGTGATACTGCCGGGCTCCTGGGAGCTGGAACCACATTTCCCATGAGCCAGCTCCCTCAAAGCTTACCATCTAAAAAAGGCCAAGGATGTTCCACATGCCAGGCAACAAGAGCCGCTATCCTGCCTGACAAGGGAGAACAAAGGCTGAACAAGAGCCAACACCGCATTCTCAAAGAGCCTGGAGGTGTACTTTGGTGTAAGAGCAGGAATAACTTATTAATGTTACCAAGAAACAGATTCTCATCACGGGCACAAGGTGAAAGCAGCTGTGATATGCCAAATTATCTGCTGAAAATCTTTAAAGTACCTTCCTAGTAAAATACAACAACAAAAAACAGTCCCTGAACTTAGATATGGCTTAGAGCTTGCCAACCTCTGTTGCCAAGGACAATTCTATCTCTTGATGGAGAGGGAGATGGGAGAAAGCAAGCTTTCAACAAGCCTTAAGATTCATTTGGGAGATTCCTGTCCTGGCAGGCCAGGAATTAAAGGCCTAGGAAGGAAGAAGAAACAAAATATAGTGACTGAAAGAAGCAGTGATGTTGACAAAAAGATACTCAAGAGTATCTGTGCAAAACATTCGAGCTCCCTAGAGATTAGCCACATGCTACAGTGTAATTAATATCAATTGGGAAGATGATTAGAATCTATAGCTCCCCTATCATTTTCATTTGGTCTTTGTTTAAGGCAGAATGGATGGATTGCACACGAAGTCAGAACTCTGTCTCTTCCTGCCTTCCTCTGGATTTTACACGTGCCATGAAACGGGAACAGCAGTGTCCACTTGCTTGGCTAATGAGCTAAGGTCTGTAAGGAGCTTACCTTCCCCCTTATTCAGAGCCTGGAGGACAGCCCAGTAGCTGGCCAAGAGTCACCTTGATTACACCTCAAACCCAACCTAGCCCCAGGGAAAAATATCTAATTTATGCCATAAACACTTGCTAGAGCTTCAAAGAAAAGCTCAAAACCATCAAAACCTTCAAAGTCAGCATAACTGCACAGCAGGCTTAATATTTGTAAGTGTAAATGCCACAAACTTACAAAAAGCCGTCATGTGGAAATTCAGTCCTTCTAATGGAAGACAGCAAACATTGCCTAAAACAGTAAAGTAAAATGGTATTATTCAAATTCCACAAGACTAGGTAAGCATAAAGGAAATTTAATTAAACTTTCAAATGACGCCTTTGGCAAGTATGCAGCATTTATGCTTCTGAAATTATGAAAGCTTAAAACTGCATTGAGACTTTGAAGACACCCTGTCTGCCAGGCTCAGACGTGACAGATTTCAACGTTTAGCCCTAAGTGGAAAAAGACAGCAGTTTTTTATGGGGCTGGATCTAAACAGAGTCCTCTTTTCCTTCCCTGGCTCCTCAACTTCCTATGCCCAATGTCCAGTTCCAGTGCAGCCACAGAGATTCTATACGCTTTCCTTCTAGCCATGTGGGCATGTTAAAAGAGAAAAGCAAGCAGAAGGTGGTGTTCTTGGACTGGCTGAGAGCATACTTCCGTTTTTGCCCCTGGTAAGTCACTTTAACTCAGTTCAGCAGACATTTCCTGAATGCTGGCGCTAGGCTATCCACTGCAGCATAGCCTGGGGCCCTCACTCAGTGACTTCTGGCTGCCTCCTCGTCTGTCTGTATGGTCAGTTTACTGAGCTCTCATCACAGCCATACCCACGAAAAAGATGACGGGGTCTGCACAATAGAACACATGATCACGAGCTCTTTACAAAGCCATGTCCCATTTATGTCCACCAGGACTGCTATGATCATACTACCACCATCCGGAGGGAAAACCCAAGGCGCAGGAGAGTAAGTGAACTGCCCAAAGTCACAGTAAGTGGGACAGGTAGCCTGAAAGACCAGGCAACAAGCCCAGGTTCCCATCCTGCCTCCATCTTGACCTGCCGTGTCCTGACCATTTGCTTGGCTTTTACTCAGCATCTGAGGTCCTCATCCAAACAGAAAAAAAAATTAAAGCCTCCACAAGATGACTTTCCATGTATAAATATTAGAACCCTAAGCCTTAATTATAAAGCCTGTGCACAGTGGGCAAGGAGACCACCCATGTCACAGGGGAAGCTGTCAGGTGGGCAGCAAAGCTAGTTGAGTGACAGCAGCCAGTGGTCAGTAAGGGGCTGGGAACTTGATAGGTTTGTCTTAACAAGATGGTTGCCAGGTTTTGTTGGACCGGGCCCTGAACTGGGTAGAGGATCTGCTAATGCCAAAAAAGTCATTAAAAACTAAATGACCTCAAGGCATCTTAACCTCCAAGAATCTGCTTATAAAATGGATCTAATACCTAACTCAAAGCATTGGGTGGAAAGTTTTAAGACACCAGACTGCCCAACTGTAGAAAGGTTTCTGTGACCTACTAATTTGCACATCAATGCCATTACACCCAGCCCTCGCCCAAGCCCCTGCTCCATTAAACATGACCATCAACCCACCCATTTATCTTTATAAATTCACTCGAACCTTCTCTGGCTCCTCACCCCATGGGTGCCTACTCCACCACTATGTGCCCTGATAACATGCCCTTAGGTTTGGTTCTGGGATTGGAATGATTTTTTTTTTACCTTCCTCCCTCTATATTTTTGTATTATTTATTAAATTTTTTCACAAAAACAATATTGACTATCTTTTTTTTTTTTTTTTCGCAAAGGCTGGAGTGAAGCGGTGCAATTTCAGCTCACTGTAAACTCTGCCTCCCGGGTTCAAGCGATTCTCCTGCCTCAGCCTCCTGAGTAGCTGGGACTACAGGTGCGCACCAACCCATGTCTGGCTAATTTTTGTATTTTAGTTTAGAGACGGGGTTTTACCACATTGGCCAGGCTGGTGGCGAACTCCTGACCTCAGATGATCCACCTGCCTCGGCCTCCCAAAGTGCTGGGATTACAGGAGTGAACCACAGCGGCTGGCCGACTATTCTTTTTTTTTTTTTTTTTTTTTTTATTTTTTTTTTTTTTTTTTTTTTTTTTTTTGAGACGGAGTTTCGCTCTTGTTACCCAGACTGGAGTGCAATGGCGCGATCTCTGCTCACCACAACCTCCGCCTCCTGGGTTCAGGCAATTCTCCTGCTTCAGCCTCCTGAGTAACTGGGATTACAGGCACGCGCCACCATGCCCAACTAATTTTTTGTAGTTTTAGTAGAGACGGGGTTTCACCATGTTGACCAGATGGTCTCGATCTCTTGACCTTTTGATCCACCCGCCTCGGCCTCCCAAAGTGCTGGGATTACAGGCAACTATTCTTAAAATATCCTTTCATACACAGACAGACACTGACCTGAACACCACTACCACCACTACCACTGAAACAGCCCACCTAAGGGGTCTGGCTGGCAACCCCAGGACATCCCCCACTGAGCACTGTGACCCAGAACATGCCACTGCCCCTTTAAACTTCAAGTTCTCTCATCTGTGAAACAAGAAGTCAGGCCAACCAGACAACACTCAAGCCCCTTCCATGGGTAGCATTCTGAGAAACCACGGGTATGGTGCGGGAGAAGCACAAACAAACATACTCTGTCACACCATCCTGCCTAATCCTTTACATGTGGGGCTGACAAGGGTTACAACGGGGGACATTCACAAGGAGAGGACCTCTCCCTTGTTCCTTGCAAAAGCCCTAGGAAGTAGGTGCACCCATCTCCACTAAACAGATAAACTGAGGCTTACAGAAGCCATGTCTCTCTGCCTCCCACCCCGCCCAGTACATCACCAGCACTGTTTTAAACACCATCCCTTCGGTCGAGCAACTATCATGTGTCAGGCACTATGCTAGACCCTGGGAGCCTGGGGCACAGTGTGAATAAGTCCCAAGTTGGCCCCGTCTGCAGGAAAGTCAGGTTGCAAATACACACCCACCTCATTCCCCTCCCTCTCTCCTCAGAGGGAGGTGCTGCAGAGAATCCTAACATTAATGGAGCACCCAAGCCCTCTCATAGGAGGTTAACACATTTCTACTCATATAATCCTCATCACAGTCCTCCGAGTTAGGTTCTATATGTTATGACAGATGAGGAAACTGAGGCGCAAAGAAGTTAAAAAACTTACACCAGGTCATCACACATCCAGGTGGTGGCGACCCAGATTCACACGCAGTTATCCCGGCCCTAAGTCCGTTCTCTGGTCCTCTACATCCTAAGGCTTCCTCCTTAGGGACTGAGCTCCCAAGACTCAAGAGAAGAGCCCTGTCCCCAACATGCAGCAAACCTGAAGCCCAGTCGGATGGTGACCAACCGTCCGGGTTTGGCCAGGCCCGAGGGGGTTCCCAGGACGCGGGAGTTTCAGTTTTAAAACTAAAACAAGTTGTTGACCCTAAGTCCAGGACTCCTGCCACCTTCCCAGAGCACGAATAAAATCTGAATGGAAATCCTTCCTCCATGCGTAAGCTAGAGGAGCTGCCAGTGGAAACGCCGGCATCGGCCACCCGGTCCCTCCCCTACTCACTCTCTGAGACCCAGCCATCTAGGTCGGACCTCTGGGCCACCACCCCTCACCTCTCAGCCAGCGCCCGCCAACGGTTTCAACCGGCCGCAACGAGCACGTGGAATTGCCACCGCCCGCCCAGCGCCGCAACTACCGGCCTCTCAAGCTTCGCGGCGCAGAATTCACTCCGCAGCTATCCAGCGCGTCTGCGCACCGGGGCCACACAACACCCCACCCGGCGGAAGTGACGCCGACGGAAGCCGGAGGGCGGTGCCGACAGCCAAGGGGGCGTGGTCGGGATGGTTCCGCGGCCGGCGGAGCCCGGCAAGCGGGCCTGAGGACGGCGGCGGCAGGTGTAGAGTAGGCGGCGGGGCAGAGAGCGGCCTCCGAGGGTAAAGTGGCCGGCCTTGCGAAGGCATGCGGGGCTGGCGAGGGTGGGAACGGCCGGAAGGGAAGGGAGGCCGAGCGTCCGAGGGTGGCGCAGCAGGGCATGGACCCGCCGCTCCCTCCGCGTCCCAGGGCACTCGAGGATACCGGGGAGCTGGCGGCCCCTGCGAGAGTCAGCGGGCATCTGCCCTGTGCCGGGCATCGCAGGGGACGCGGACTGAGACCCAGAAGGCCAGGTTCCGGACCTGGGAGCCGGGCCTTCTCCCTCGTGTAGCTCCCTCGGCCTGGGCACCCCACCCGCGTCCTCTCATCTCCAGGTTTTGCCCGCAGGAAGCCAGCCCCGCCCGCCTCCGCCCCGCGCTGCCCATCTCTCGGTTCCTGTTACCTTCCACCCTGTAGTTTAGTGCTTAAGACGACAGAACCCACAGCCTGGCTCAGTCTCGTTACGGTGTGGCCTCTCTGTGCCTCAGCACGGCATCCGTAAAGCGGGTATCATAGCGGCACTTGCGTCGCTGGAACCTTGTCTGATTTCATGAGTTGTGCATGTAAATCGCTTAGAGTAGTGGCTGCCACCTCGTAAATGCTCAATACACGTTAGCTGTTTTCAGCCCTTAAGACAGGGTCTGGCATACGGTGGTGGTCACTAGGCGTTTGTTGTTTAAAGGAATGAATGAAAGTTGAATGGAGGATGCACAGAGTATTGTGAGAAACCTTAACTCCAAGGTGTGTGTATGTGGGTGATAAGGAAGGTTTCACTCTGGAAATGAGCAGTGTTGGGCCTGGAATAGAAAGTGTATTCGTTTCCTAGGGCTGCAAACAAAATGCCGGGTGGCTTAAACATCAGAAATTTATTTTCTCACAGTTCTGGAGGTTAGACGTCCAAGATCAAGGTGTCATCAGGTTTGGTTTCTTCTGAGACATTTCTCCTTGGATTGCGGGTGGCCACTTTCTTGCTGTGTCATCACTGGTGTTTCCTCTGTGTTCCCCATCTCTGGTGTCTCTCTTTGTATCCAGATTTCCTCTCTTCATAAGAACATCAGTCAGGTTGTATTAGGGCCTACCTTAATGGCCTCATTGTAACTTAATTACCCCTTTACAAGCCTGATCTCCAAATACAGACACATTCTGTGGTTCTGGGGGAACACAGTTTACCCATAACGAAAGGAATTCACAAGAATGGACAAGGAGGGATATATTTTCCAACAGAAGTGACAGAATGGACAAGAGGCTTAAAAGCAGGGTGCTCAAGGTGTTTTTTTGTGTTCAGGGCACATATGTGTACTTCAGTCTTGTTTGTGCTCTCCTGCTTTTTTTTTTTTTTTTTTTTTTCCATTTTATCCCCCTGAAAACTCAAAGAGGGAGAGCCCTCTCATTTTTTGTCTGGCAAACTTAACTCATGTTTCAGCCTAGATGTGTCTTCCAGGAAGTTTTCCGTGACCCTTCCTCCCAAATTAATTTCTGCTTTCTCCATTTAATAACTCTGGTACAGTGTGACAATTGTTTTTCCCACTAGACTTATGCTTCATGAAGACATGGATGACCATGTCTGATGTGTTTGCCATTTTACCTTCAGTGCCTAGAATATAATGGGCCCTCTGTAAAGTTAGGTGAATGATAGAAAACTGAGGCACAGGCAGGGAACCATTTGTCAGCATTCGGTCCTCTCGATAATCTGTTGTACATATTAGGCACAGAATATCTGTTTAACTGAATTGGCCTTCCCCAGTATAAAGCTAAGACAAGACTCCAAATTTGTTTGCTTCAAGCCAGTGCTTTTCTGAGTTGGGTGGAGGTGAGGGTCTATGAGTAAGCCTTTTGGAAAGTTTGATGATGGGCAGACTCCTTAGGGGCCCTCTAAGGTAAGCTTGGTAATAAGGTGTGTGAACTGTGGGCCCTTGGAGAAGTAATCTATTAATGGCTCAGCTGAGAAAACATCCACAAATTCTATCCAGTAGTATTTGACCTGTTGATAGAATTGAGGGGCCTCTGCTCTAGGAGTCTTCTCTGCAAGTTGAAACTCCATTCTGGCTCATTTCCTTTAGAGGCATTTCTTCATTCACATTGATGTAAGCCTTTTCTTGTTTCTTTTCCCCCCATATTTTTGTTGTTTGATGCCATTCATACCACCTTTCCACCAAAACATTCCTTGTACAGATTTGTAGCTTTTAGAACAAGAAGAAACCATAGAGCTCATCTAGTCCAGTGGGGGACTCCTCCATTGTTATGGATGAAAAACAGGCCCAGAGTCTGATCCATCCAGAAATATGTATTGAGTGCCTACTATGTCAAAGACACTCTGCTAGGTACCAGAGATACATTGTTCAGTAAGACAGACGGAGTCCATGTCTTCACCACAGACAGTCTTTGCTGCTTGTCACCAGGTGAGTTAGCTGCAAAGATGGAAGAGAACCCTGTGCTCCTTCTGTCACACTACAACACCTTGTGTAGCACACGTTAGTCCTGAATTGTGCAGTCCCTTAATGCAGTGCTTGTCTGTGGGATTACCTGGACAGTCAGGCTTAGGCAGTAGACTGAAGATGCAACTGATTCCAGTCAAAGGAAACAGTGGTTATGAGTGTGGCTTTGGTGTCAGATTCCTTGGCTTTGAATCCCACCTCTGTCCCTTATTGCTTACCTATTACTTTTTAGCTGTGTGACCATCTTCTCTATACATGGTCAGGTTTTCTATTGCTGTGTAACACACTATCCCGAAATTTAGTGACTTAAAAACTATTTTATCTCATAATTCTGTGGGGTAGGCATTCAGGCAAGTGTCACCTGGGAAATTCTTTAATTCTATGTGGTGGCAACTGGGATCACTCAGTGCCATTCAGCTGGAGGAGGGGGCTAGCCTGGTGAGGTCAGGATGGCTTCTCTGGGAGCCAGCTGAACCCCCCTTTGCCTCCATGCATTATCTCTAGTTGGGCATCTTACAGGTGGCTCAGGCCTTCCATAGCCGGTGTTCCAAAAGATGAGAAGTAGAAGCTGTTAGCTCTTAAGGCCTGGGCCTGGGCAATGAGCACAGCTTTATAAGCACAGAATCTGATTAATGCAGAGCCTGTGCAGATTCAAGGGAAGGAGACCTAGACTCCACCATCCCATGGGAGAAGCATCAGAGAATTTGTGTCTGTCTTAAATCTACCAACTTCCTCATTGTTCTCACCTGTAAAATGTGGATAATAGTAGTACCTGTCTTACAGTAAATGTTACTAAGTGTAAAGGGCTTAGGATAGTGCCTGGCTTCTAGGAAATGTAAGTATTTGTCATATCATTATTGTTAGGTATAACATACATTTTTGTTTATAGTTATAATTTATAGAACACATAAGAAATATAAGATACAGGTTTTTGTTTTTTTTTTTTTTGGCCCAGGTCTTTTTATAACCTTATTGGGGAGGTACAGGATTGACATCATGAAGTTATTTAGAGAACTATACAAAATGATATAAAATAGTTATAATTTATTTTTTTTGAGGCAGAGTCTTGCTGTGTTGCCCAGGCTGGAGTGCAGTGGCTTGATCTCAGCTCACCTCAACCTCCTCCTCCCAGGTTCAAGCAATTCTTGTGCCTCAGTCTTCTGAGTAGTTCAGATTCCAGGCGTGAGCCACCATGCCTGGCTGATTTTGTATTTTTAGTGGAGACAGGGTTTCATTATCATGGCAAGGCTGATCTTGAACTCCTTGCCTTAAGTGATCCACCTGCCTTGGACTCCCAAAGTGGTGGGATTACAAGTGCGAATCACTGTTCTTATAGTAAAAGTCAATTGTGTAACACTTAACAACTGCATAGCATCATATCTCTGGGGTCATTCCAAAGAACTTTTCCTTTATCACTTCTATAGAGCTAGAAAATGTCTAATTTTCTAATTAGACCTCTACCTAATTTACCTAGACATTTACATTTGTATAATTATACAGTTTTACCTAATTTTAACAGTTAGGTCCATGGAGGAGGGGTGTGTGTGTGTGTGTGTGTGTGTGTGTCTGTGTGTGTCTGTGTGTCTGTGTATAAAATGTCCTTATTCCCATGGGAGATAGCATAGCATAAAAGCATACACTCCAGTGTTTAGGGATCAGGATTAAAATCCTGACTTTGGCACACTAATAGTTGTATGATTTTGGATAAGTGACTTAAACTCTCCATATCTCAATTGTTTCTCTTGTAAATGGTGGTAATTTGGTTCTTATAGAATTGTTTCAGTTAATGGATATTGTATTAATCCATTTTCACACTGCTATAAAGATACTACCTGAGAGTGGGTAATTTATAAAGGAAGGAGATTTAATTGACTTAACAGTTCCCCATCACTGAAGAGGCCTCAGGAAACTTACAATCATGGCAGAAGGCGAAGGGGAAGCCGGGCACATCTTACATTGCAGCAGGGGAGTGAGAACCAGGTGGAGGGGAGTAGGGACTGCCAGACATTTTTAAACGATCAGATCTGGTGACAACTCATTCACTGTCACAAGAACAGCATGGGGGAAACTGCTCCCGTGATCCAGTCGCCTCCTACCAGGTCCCTCCCTTGACATATGGGGATTACAATTTGGGTTGAGAACACAAAGCCAAACCATATCAGATATGACATGCTTAGCACAGATCTGCGGTAAGTAGTCAGTAAATGATAGCTAAAAAGAATGATAAACTTGGAAGCCTTTTCAGGCAAGCAGTACAGCAGGATGTGTAACTGATTACTCACGAGATTGTTCACTATCCTTGAGGATTCAGCACTGGGAACAGTGTCCGCCACCTACCATCATGCCTTTCTTTCTGTACTCTTGTTCGGGGCAGCATTAGCCATTCCAGTACCTCAGTGTTGCTCTTTGTCCCAGTTTTCTCTGAATCTCATGGTGATCTCAAACCAGGAGATCATGCCAATACCCCAAACAAAGCTTTCCATGAAAAGATGAGGGGAATCAAGGTCTAGACTTGATAGGTGAGGTAATGGGGGGATGAAGTTTAGAGATTCTAAGTTGAAGGGGCATGCCATTGAAGAAATTTAGCAGAGAGTGGAAGACTGGAACTGGTAGCTGAAGCTAAAGTTTCACATTTAGGGGCTGTGTTAGAACATGTGAAAGCCAAGAATGAACGTGATTGCCAAGGGAAAGAGAAGAGGGCTACCATGCTGCACCTTAAGGACCTTCAATGTTTGCAAGGCTCGAGGGAGACAGGCACAGCATGGGAATGGGACAGATCAGGGACATAGGAAGAGAACCAGAAGAGTTCTGGGAAAGGAGGGATTTCAGGATGGGAGTTGGCAGACTGCACTGCCATGTGTGGCAGGAAAGATGGAGAGGATGGTTGGGGACTGAGGAAAGGTCGTTGTTGGGAAAGTCTGTTTCAGCAGAGAGAGTGGCAGCAAGGTTGCAAGGTGATATGTTTTGGCTGTGTCCCCACCCAAATCTCATCTTGAATTGTAACTCCCACAATCCCCACGTGTCATGGGAGGAACCTGGTGGGAGTTAATTGAATTATGGGGGTGGGTCTTTCCTGCACGGTTCTCATGATAGTGTGATAGTGAATGAGTCTCACAAGATTTGATGGTTTTAAAAAGGGAATTTCCCTGCAGAAGCTCTCTTTGCCTGCTGCCATCCATGTAAGATATGACTTGCCCATCCTTGCCTTTCACCTTCCCCCAAGATTGTGAGGCCTCCCCAGCCATGTGAAACTGTAAGTCTAATAAACCTATTTCTTTTGTAAATTACCCAGTCTCGGGTATGTCCTTATCAGCAGTATGAAAATGGACTAATACACAAGGTGAAAAAGGAGTCATGAGAAAGTAAAGTGGGGTGTGTAGATAGCTATTTTGAAAAGTGTGAAAGAGAGGCCTGTGGTGACTAGAGGAACCTAGAGGGAGGGCTTTATTGTTACCCTGTTTTGCTTTGTTTTCAACATGGGGCAATCTCGATGTGTTTGTTTGGAGGAAGCAGTGAGCCAGTGAAGGACAGGGTGAAGAAAGTTTCATTGATGAAACCAGGTCCTAGCGGAGGCAGGAAGGGTGAAGGGGCGAGGGAAAGTTCACCTTAGGAAGAAGGAGGAGGCACTTTTCATCCCATAAAGCCTAAGGCATGAGGGAGGGGTGAGTGGGACATTTGGAACTGAGTAAAATTTAAGGACATTTGGAACTGAGTAAAATTTAAGGCACTATGCTTATCAAGTGGGTTCAACCTTCTTTTATTTTATGTTATTTATTTTTATTTATTTATTTTATTTATTTATTTATTTTTTTGAGACGGAGTTTCGCTCTTGTTACCCAGGCTGGAGTGCAATGGCGCGATCTCGGCTCACCGCAACCTCTGCTTCCTGGGTTCAGGCAATTCTCCTGCCTCAGCCTCCTGAGTAGCTGGGATTACAGGCACGCGCCACCATGCCCAGCTAATTTTTTGTATTTTTAGTAGAGACGGGGTTTCACCATGTTGACCAGGATGGTCTCGATCTCTTGACCTCATGATCCACCCGCCTCGGCCTCCCAAAGTGCTGGGATTACAGGCTTGAGCCACCGTGCCTAGCCATTTATTTTTATTTTTTGAGACGGAATCTAGCTTTGCTGCCTAGCCTGGAGTGCAGTGGCACAATCTCTGCTCACTACAACCTCATCCTCCCAATTTCAAGCGAATTGCCCACCTCAGCCTCCCCAGTAGCTGGGATTACAGGCCCCTGCCATCATACCCGGCTAATTTTTGTGTTTTTGTAGAAACAGGTTTTCACCATGTTGGCCAAGCTGGTCTCAAACTCCTGACCTCAGGTGATCTGCCCACCTTGGCCTCCCAAAGTGCTTGGATTACAGGCGTAAGCCACCATGCCTGGCCGGTTTCAACCTTCTTAGTGAAGTTAACGTCACAGTCATTATATTTTTATGAGGGAAGGAAAGAGATGTGGTGGGAATGAAGACACTGGGAAGATCACAGAGGAGCAACCCCAAACGTAGAGCAGGTTAAGAATCATGGCGCTGGGCGCGGTGGCTCACACCTTTAATCCCAGCACTTTGGGAGGCCAAGGTGGGCAGATTGCCTAAGCCCAGGAGTTCAAGGCCAGCCTGGGCAACATCCCATCTCTGCCAAAATTTTTTTTAATTAGCCAGGTATGGTGGTGCACACCTGTAGTCCCAGCTGTGGCGGGAGGATTGCCTGAGCCCAGGAGACTGCAGTGGGCTGTTATCACACCACTGCAGTCTAGCCTGGGTGGCAGAGCTAGATCCTGTTTCAAAAAAAAAAGAATGGTGGGAAAGTAAGTGACAGCTCAGCTGAGCCCTGATCTGGAAGATGGGAGGGGCAGGTGTAAGTAAAGTATTCCCAGGGCAGAACCAGAGGCTTTCGGAGGAGAGCACAGGAAGAGATTTGCAGCCTACCTGCTCAGAGTCACTGGAATGCCTGGGATGCAGTTACCAGACTCCACCGTAGACCGACAGAACAAACCTGGGGTGTTTCCAGGAATCTGCATTTTTAAGAAGCTCCCCAAGTGATTCCTAGGGATAACACTTATTATAGAATCCTTCCACATGCCAGATACTAGACTAAATGTTAACACAGGTAACCGCAATAACCTGTGAGATAGGGTGAGGACAGAGAAGTCATTTGCCCAAAGTCATGTAGCCACTGAGTGGGGGAACTAGGTCTCCAACCCACTGGCCAAGAACATAGCTGGTTTGGGGAGCCGCTGGTGGTTCATTGTGGCTGGCACATACTTGGAGTAATGGGAGGTAAGTCTAAGTGAGAAGGTGTATTGAAAAGCTTAGATTTGGGCTTTAGTGATTCAGCAGTGCTTAAGTACTGAGAATGAAGGCAAAGAAAGCA